GAGAAAACTTGAACTGCATCGCTGTAAATTAAACTGAATTGTTAATTTAAGGTAGAAAAATATGATAGTAAGCGTCCCAAAATATAAATCTTCCTGTGAATTTGAATGTTGACAAATGTTAGGCAGGTGTTCGGTATTTATTTGCCAGCCTTGTCTACATAAAGAGACTCTTCATTATCACAAAAATTCGAAGGCAAATACTTCGTTCAATTATGTTGCCATTACAGACTTGCCGCCGACAAAGATGTCAGTTCCCTTCAGAAATACAAACTTTCAATAATTTATCCTTTCTACATGCGGCAATTAAGTTGAGATCGAAGAACAAATATTTTGCAGACTTGCTGCCGCCAAAGATGTCAGATCACTTCTTAAATACAAACTTTTAATAATTTGTCCTTCTTTATCTCAAAAAATTCTCTAGAACGATAGAACAGCATTGCAAACTATTAACATCAAGTCATGATTAACTTTGCTGCAACTTGAAATTGAACAATGCGATAAAATGTATGCAAAGTGCAGAGGCCTGAGTTTTTTATGAATCGTCTTGCTCATGGTAGTTGAGCTCGGTAGTTTGCATTAAACATTCTCGATTTTATTTTAGTTGGACTGGTCCCAAGCATTCTATGATTTTCGGATGGCAATTGAGAACTTCGGCCAAAAAAAAACAACAAAAAAACATTTGTAATAACTCTGAAGGATGTGACAGAATGTGAAATATCCTGTGGCTGAATTAACAGAATTTTATTCAAAATCTTTCAGACAGCGCAATTGGTCTGAGTAAGAAAGGCTTTTTGCTCTAAGAAATATGGATAGATTTTTAACTTCTGAGCGAAAAATTTTTTTTCAAACTTGGTTTTGTTCTTGGCGGTATCAATAGAAGAAACGTTATGGTTTCGTGCTTTCTTCAATTTATTTATTGCTTCCAGTTGACTTCTATGCCTGTCAAAATAGAGCACATGGTCCACTGCGCCAGCGGAAGAAGCGAAGAACGTAATCTGATTTTGTGTGAGTGAACTTACGACTCATCGTAACTAATCGAAAGTGTAATTTATAAACCAGAAGAAAATACCGATATTTTTTCTAGTATGCTTTTAGTGCTTCTGCAAGTTTGGAAGTGAAAGAAAAAGGAGTAAGAGATCATTGCCTTTTACGCAGCTTTTACGCTGTTTTCAGGTTCCGGCGCGTGGTTAATCGATCGCAAGCTAGTTAGTTAGCAGATATGGACTTTGAGCGAGCATTTTCATCTCCTTTAAGAGAATTGGGCTCAAAGGAAATGAAAAAGAACAATGGCAAACTCTAGGATCGATTGGTTTAGACACCAGAGACGGCCTACTGCTTCTATTCCCGATACAAAAGCTGATGATTGCACAGGTGACTGCACTTGAGCCGGGATGACTACAAGACAAAGAGAAACAGCGATGTTTTGAAACTCTCAAACACCCATTTTTTTCCCCCTCACAATCGACATACCCCTAAAACACTTTTCCTAATTTTTCCTTGATCTTCTTAACAATGAAAACATTCCAAACAAGTTCTTTTACAGGTTAACCTTCCACGCAAAATAAAACAAAAACAACAATAACACGAATGAGAACATTTCAAATTTATCGTTGTTAATGCTCTATTTCCGGCCCGATCAATCACTTCCGTAAATCACATTTCCTGTGTGGAGTCTATTGTTTTCCCTACCAACCATTCAAAAAAACTGAATTAATCCATTCTCCCAGAGATCATTATTTGGCGACCATACCGCTGACAAAGCTGCAAATTATTTGGTCAAACAGCGGGACATACAAGAAGTTTTTGAACTAAACAATATTTTCCTATTTTCCCTGGAGATAATTGGAGTGTTATGACCGGTTTTATGTCTTTCAAATTGAAAATTTGTGAAAATATTAATCTTTACAATTACACAATGTGTCGCATTTTCCTCCGGAGTTATGTGGTTATGATTTTCCAATTTAAAAAGTATCTTATAAAAAATGCTCTCATCAAAATTACTCTTGTTTCCCAGGCAAACAGGATGAAGAAATAATATCATGTAAATGATTGACATTTACAAAAAACCCGAACTGAAATGACCAAAGCAAAACGATCGAAACGAAACGAACCTAACTACCTAAAAATTATCAAATGTCAGTCGTCATATTCATCTCGTTTAGATTAATCTAATCTAATCATTTAATCTACCTCTGATCTACTTCACGGGGATATTAAGTTATCTCTCGGTTGCTATCGGCTTGGCGTGGGGCGTTGAGGAAACTTTATTTAAAAAAAATATCAATAAGAAAGTCATGGACATAGACGTGGTCAATAAATACCGTTAGCTTTATCAGTCGTGGACGTTGAACAGAGAACAATATCGGAGCCCTTGATTCGTATCAAGCCCCCACCCCACCCACATCCCCTTCGATAACTGGTGGGATGCTTTAGAGATTCGAGCTTTTTCCTGTGGAACTAAATTCTATATCCTTCCCTTTCTTCTACTCCCTACCCTTTTTCCCCCAGGCTACCGCCAATGAAAAGTGTTTGCTTCGTATTCAACCTTGTCCTCTCTCACTATTTTTTTCAGGAACTTAAACACAGTGCGACACATTAATCAGGAACTAGGAGAGCCAATGGATAGATTTGTTCTCATGGCCAGATAGTTTGTGAAAAAATATTTGTATTGCGCGGTCTTCTCTCTGTTTTTTTTTTTCTTTCACGGTTTTTGATTTTTTTTTTACCTAAGTACTTCGAAGGTGAGAAAAGAAATTTCCAGTTAATCTACCAGTATAAATATAGGTCCAGTTCTGGAAAATTTCAAAAGTTTCCACGGTAGCGACTGGTTCAGACGTTAACTTTTTTACCTTTTACTCCAGCGCCATTGCGGGAATTTACGGCCATATAAAGCATAGTAGTCTATGGTCGAATGTGAATACAATCTTGGAATCATATATGTCCTCGATGTGAGAATAAGGTAATTATGTTTTCCAAATAAGGAGGAAGTTCTTCCCAGTGCTATCGCCTGAAGTAACATTTCTTGTTCTCATCATATATTCCATATAGAATTTTTATGGTTCGCAAAACGAGTTATTATTGCATAGGGAGCCCGCCAGTTCGACATTCCTTGTCTTGAAAACTTGTGAACCTGCAATACAACAAATAAAATAAGTGGTATACCACCATTACTACAAGCTATTGCTAACATTGTTACAAAGAAATTTAAAACAGATATTGTTCACTATGAAATGGAATTTTTGTCTTGCACATCTAACATGGACCTTCATCAAATCAAGCACATCATGGAAAAGCACAGACAAAATGTAATTATGACAACATGGAACCTTCTCCAAAAAAGAAAAGGCTGCAACAGATAAGTTCTTAAAAAAAAAATCAAATACAAACTTAGACTACAGCATGAGAGTGAGACAATCCCAACTATTGATGTCTGCATTAGAGAATTCAAAGAGAAAATCAGAGAAGGTCCTTATTATGTATGCTGTGTATGCAA